GCTGCTAAGGGTGGCGCGACCAGCTGCTAGGGGCGGTGCAGCGGCCCGAAGGGCGGCGCGTCAATAGGGTAGGGCGGCAGGGCAGCTAGTGGGGCAGCTCTGTGGTGGGCCCTAAAAAAAAATCGGTCATAGGGAAGGACCTGCTCTGAAACCATGTCAAACTAACGAACGAGAATGAATGAACTATGAAAGAGTTGGGTACAAGTACTAACCCTAATTGGGTTGTACCCCTTATGGGCTACCCCACTATAGCCTACACAATGTAAGCAATATAACATTTTGACACACCTCATTTGCCCCCTCTCATTCCCATCCACCTCATTTGCCCCCCCCCCCCCCCCCCTCCCATTCCCATCCACCTCATTTGCCCCCTTGCATTCCAACTATGAACTGATGATGTTCACCATGCAGAGGCCGGTGGACAAGTGAAGAATGGGCACCCCTACTTGGGTTGGCAAGTAGCAAAGAGGCGCAAGCTGGCAGCGCCAGAGGGACGTGAGATGGCTGGGGGCTGGTGGAGGAGCTGGCAACTGCATTCTGTTTAGGAACCAGCTCTGGCTTGTGTTTGGCTGAGTCATCATGAGGCTGTAAACTCACAGTTGCCAGGCAATGTGTCGCTGAAAACAAGCCAATGAATCTTGCATTGGATAGAGGCACAACCGGTAAAAATAAACAATACGAGGTACTGAAAAAAAAAGGGCTGAAAAGTGGTTGAATCAGTGTTGGTAGTAGTCTGAAATCTGAGGGCGTTCTTCAAAAGGGTCGCTTGTTAATTACTACGGTACTTTCAATTCCTACTTCACCTGTCAAACGAGAGGATTGGCCGTCAAGCTCAAAGTGTTGAAGGAGAGAATTGATGAATTGAATAATGAGCCAAGAGGCCCTTTAGTACAAACAATGAGCAAGAGAGAGATGAGAGGGAAGCTTACCCTATTGGCCAATATGTTGACCAACGGGTGAGCTTGCTTGCCCAAGCAACCACAAATATGTGTTGGTTGGGATTGGTTAAGTTAAGGACCAATCCCAACCAACCACAAAATGTGGTTGGAGGGTACACTAAACAACCCCCCAATTCATAAATGTGCTACACATCTAATTCTAGCCTATGTATGTTGTTTAGAATATGAAATTACAACACAACCCCCCAACATGCATAAGGCTAGAAGGCTAGAATCAAGAGGCGGGAGGCGACTTAGGAGGAGTGAGGCCAAGGAGATGAAGTAGTGAAGAGTGAGCCGCATGAGGAAGAGCTTTTGTGAAGATGTCAGCAAGGTTGGTCGCCGAGTCAATCTTGTCGAGCCTAAGGTGCCCAGCCTGAAAAAGATCGCGAATGAAGAAATGACGGAGCTCAATGTGTTTGGAGCGCCCGTGAAACACAGCATCCTTAGTAAGGTGAATGGTACTGGCATTGTCACACCACATGATGGGACAGCGCTGGGGGGCACCAAGTTCCTCAAGAAGGAAGGTGAGCCAGCGGGCCTCTTGCGCAGCCATGGTAGCGGCATATAATTCCGCCTCGCAGGAGGAGAGGGCGATAGCCGAGGAGCGGGTGGAGCGCCAGCTGATAAGGCCGCTGCCAAGAGAGAAGCCATAGCCCTGGGAGGAGCGACGATCCAGCCGAGAATCTGCCCAGGAGGAGTCACTGTAGCCGTTGAGGAGAGGTGGGGAGGGGCCGCCAAGGGTAAGGACCTAGTCCTTGGTGCCAGGAAGGTACCGGAGGACACGCTTGGCGGCCTGCCAGTGCTCTTCCGTATGTTTGCCCGCGCCAACAAAACGAGCGAGGACGCTGATGGGGTAGGCAAGGTCAGGGCGAGTGGAGACCATGGCGTACATGGGGGAGCCGACGAGCTCAGGATAAGGATGGGAGGAGGTGGAGGGGGAGGTGGGTGGAGAGAGGTGGTGCCCGAAAGAAAGAGGAGTATGTTGGGCACCGCCCCGGGCCATGTCAAACCGCTCCAAGACCTGTTGTAAGTAGAGAGAGATGGTGCGGGTGGAGCGATCGCGAGTGATGGTCATGCCCAGGTAATGCTGCAGCTCTCCCAAGTCCTTGCACTTGAGACGGCTACCCAACTCAGCCTTAACATGCTCCAACTTAGCAAGGTCAGCGGTGAGCAAAATCATGTCATCGACATACACAAGGATGTAGAAGGGGGAGGGGGAGGCGCGGAGGAAGAGGCTGGCATCGGAGCGGGAGGTGCGAAACCCAAGTTCAGCAAGGGTGGCGGCAAGCTTAACATGCCACTCCCTAGGGGCCTGTCGGAGCCCATACACAGGTCGACGCAGCTGCCAGATAGAGTTAGCTAGGAAGGGAAGGTGAAAGCCGGCTGGACGCTCCATGTAGATTAGCTCGCGGAGGACGCCTTGCAAAAAGGCGTTAGAAACATCCATTCAGTGGATCTCCATATTTAGGCGAGCGGCGAGGTCGAGCATGGCTCTAACGGTAGCAGGTTTGGCGGTAGGGGAGAAGGTATCGAAGAAGTCAACAGCATACCGCTGCATGAAGCCCTTGGCACAGTAACGAGCCTTGTAGATGGGCGGCTCCCCTGGCAGTTGCTTGACGCAAAACACCCACTTCCCCTTCAGCACGTTCGTAGAGGCAGGAGGGCGAGGCACATCAACGAAGGAGGAGTTGGAGATAAAGGCCTCGAGCTCCTTGATGATGGCGGCGAGCCAGAGAGGGGCATCAGGGCAAGCCATTGCCTCCGCATACGTGGTAGGGATGAAAATGGAGGGAGCAGAGGAGAAGGCGAAGACGGGTGTGCCGCAGATGTCGAATGTGATGGGTAGAAGCGAGGGGTTAAAGTGGTGGAGGTCAAGGAGCTCCTCATGGGAGTCCTCAGAGAGGGAGGTGTGGAAGGCGGGGATGGCTGCTGGTGCCGATGCTGGTGCCGCTGCTGGTGCCGCTGCTGGTGCCGTTGCTGGTGCCACTGCTGGTCCTGCTGCTGGTGCCGCTGCTGGTCCTGCTGCTGGTGCCGCTGCTGGTATAGCTGCTGGTGCCGTTGCGGACATTGCTACTGGTGAGGGAGAGGAGGCAGAGGGGGCTGCTGCAGGAGGAGGTTGATGCAAGACAGCCTGGAAGAAGTGGTGAAGGAGAGGGGAGAGAGGGGGGAGGGTAGAGGAAGAGAGGGTAACAGGGGGCGGTGCACCAAGGATACCGTCACGTGACCTGGTATGGGGGTAGCGGGTAAGTGCGGTGCAGGGAGGAGGGGAAGGACGGGTCGGTGGCGAGGGAGGGGAGAGGAGGGGGGAGGGGCACTGGGAGAGGAATGTGTGGGGGAGACCGGAGAGGACAGAGGTTCCGGATCAAAGATATCACCAGACGAGGGAGGGGCACCGTGGGACAGGGATGGCGGAGGGGGGGGAGGCGGGAGGATGGGGGGAGGAGGGAGTAATGGGGGAGGGGTGGTGTCAGACCAGACAAGGGGACGGGTGAGAGGGAGGAGTGGGTTAGTGGATGGGGGAGAGGAGTAGTAGGGAGTGGACTCATCAAAGACCACATCCCTACTGCGGACTAGACGACCTGAGGGGGGATGGAGGAAAAGGTAGTCAGGTGAGGTAGGGTTATGACCAAGGAAGATGCAGGGAAGGGTGCGAGGGGCAAGCTTTCCCATGGAGCGGGAGCGGTCAGAGGGATGAATAAGGACATATGCCTTTGAGCCCCAGACACGAAGAGATGAGACATCAGGCTTGTCCTTGGTCCACAGCTTAGTGGGGGTGGTGGAAGGGAGAAGGGGGTGAGGGTAAATGTTAGTAAGGAGGGCGGCATGAAGGAGGGCGTAGCCCCACAGAGAAGGGGGTCAGGAGGCGTGGACAAGAAGACACCGGGCTGTTTTGGTGATCTCTCGCACACGACTTTCAGCCACACCGTTCTGCTGTGGGGAGTGAGGGAGGGTGTAAGTCTGAAGAATGCCACGAGACCGACAATAGGAGGAGACTTGGTTGTTAAGGAACTCACCACCACCATCAGTGTGAAGGCGGCGAACAGGGCGCCCAAAATGGGTGTTTGCCCGCTCCAGCCAGGCGATGATTGCAGCCGGGGCGTCCGCCTTCGTCCGAAGGAGAGAGACGGACGAGTATTGATTGTGATCATCAACGAGCACGAGAAGGTAGCGATGACCCTGGCGAGTGGGAGAGGGATTAGGGCCCCAGAGGTCCATGTGAACAAGATCAAGTGACTGTGCAGCAGCGGAGGGGGAGCTCCGGTGCGGCTGCTGCTTGAGCTTGCTCTGAACGCAGACAGTGCAGGGGGGGGCAGGGGATTTGGGGAGGGGAGGGAGGGAGGAGGGGAGACCGTGGAGGAGATCGGAGGAGACAGAGGAGCGCAGAGTAGCGAAGTTAGGGTGACCTAGCCTGTGATGGAGGAGGATGGTAGGGTGGGAGAGGGAGCGACAGGAACAGTCAGAGTCAGGGGGGCGGGGAGGGAGGGGTGGGTTAGTGGGAGGGAGGGGAGGGGGAGGGAGGAGAGGGAGAGGCGACTTGGCAGGTGGGGGGGCGGGGAAGCCGAAGGGTGTACAGACGGGAACGAGGATAGAAGGGAATACGAGAGAGAAGGTGACCTGTAGTAGTATTGTAAAGGGCACAGTAGTTAGCACCACCTGGGAAGACAGTGGTGATATTGGCTTGTTGGAGGGACCTTTGGGAGAGGAGGTTAGTGCATAGGGAGGGAATGTGGAGACCGGTGACAGTACCTGAGGGAAAGAGAGGACAGGGAAGGGTGGAAGTGTTGTGACAAGGGATAGAAAAACTGCTATCAGCACCGAGGAGGGAGGTGGGTGTGGGGAGAGGGCGCAGTGTACCAGCATCACGAAGGACAGTGTCAGTGGCTCCACTGTCCAGGACGAAGTCAAGGGTGGATGAGGGTGAGGCAGAGTACTGGAACGAAGTTTCATTAACAGAGGAAGGGTACATGGGAGATGCAACAGATTCAGGTTGACCTAGCAAACCGACAAAACCAGAAGAGGGGAAAGCGGTCACACTGCCACCTGCAGACGGCGCTGGAGATGCACCCGAGAGATGGGCTGCGGAGGCAGCACTCCCGGCAGTCAAGGTAGGAAAGGGCTGCTTCTGGGAAGCGGGAGGAGGGAGGAGGGGCAGCTGCGGCTGTAGGTCGAGCTGCTGCTGGAGATGCTAGAGCTGCTGCTGGAGTTGAGAAAGGAGAAGCTGCTGCCCATACTGTTGTAACCTCTGCTGCTGACTCCCAAGCTGCTGCTGCTGGTGCTGGGGAGGGGCAAGGGCCTGGTGGGCTTGGGTGGAGGAGGAAGGCTCATAGAGGGGAGAGGAACGGACTTCAAGGGGAGTGGGGCGTGGGTTGAGGGCAGACCAGCGAGGAGGGGTGCCGGTGTTGCCACGGGCAAACCACTCATCACTGAATGCCTTGAAGCATGTTTCAGTGGCATGAGTGGTTTGGCCGCAGCGCTGTCCCTGAGTGGGACCGTAACGAGGCAGGTACTGACAGGGAGGAAAGGCAGCTGCCGCACCGCGACCCGCACCACCGCTACCACTGCCACCGCGACCCGGTGATCCGCCTCGTCCACCCCCACGCCCACCACCACGCCCACCCCCACGCCCACCGCCATGCCCACCCCTGCTGCTGCGCGGCTGAGCTACTGCGACTGTGGAGGTAGAGTGGCGAAGGATCTCGGCTTCGGTGGTGATAATCCACTGAGCGACTTCAGCAGGGGTATGGTGCTTGGAGAGAAGCTTCATGTAGGCAAGCTTGTGAGCGTCGAAGGCAGGTGTGAGGCCCTCGAGGAGGTGGCAGCAGATGACAGTGTCCGGGTACACAACATCGAGTGCCGCAAGGCGCCGAGCAAGGTCTAGGACACGGCGAGTGAATGCAGTGGCGCCAGAAGTGGAGTGCATGGAGAGAGTGCCGAATTCTTTGATGAGGGCGTAGAGGGTGGCAACGTCTTGCCGATCGAAAAGGTCGACGAGGAGTCGCCACAGGTGGGAGGAGGAGGTAGGTGAGAGCTCGCGTTTGAGGGAGGAGGGGACGGTGGCAAGAAGAATGGCAAGCGCGCGCAGATCGGCAACTCGCCAGGCAGTGATTTTCGTGGTGTAGTCGGCAAGGTCTGCGGTGTAGGTGTCAAGGTCCTCCTGGTACTTGCTGTAGCGGGCAGCGGCGTCGTCATAAATGCGCTTCTCGTCCTCGTAACGCAGTTGCTGGCGCAGGTGCTCTTGGAGATTGGTGCGGTAGGTGCGGATGGCGGTCTCCGAGCTCTGCGGATCGTTGACATTCGGTGCGAAGGTGGGAGGATCACCAGGGGGAGACGGCTCGGCGCCAGGGTGGGTGGGGACAGGTCCAGTGGGAGTGGTGGGGGCCACGGGCTGAAGTCCACCACCTTCCTGGAAGACAACCGAGCGAAGGTTGTAGCCGCTGATCACAACAGAGGAGAGGAGAACCTCGACCAAGTGAGCGTAGGAGTGCCAATTAGCAGCAGTGTTGTCGGGTAGCAACTCGAGTGCATCAACAGTAGCAAGGTCGACGGAAGAATCCAACGATGCCATAGAGACGAGGGTGGGTGGAAACAAGGGCAGGAGGAGGATGGGGCGAGGGTACTGCTGCTGGTGGCGCTGCTGGTCCTGCTACTGGTGCCGCTGCTGGTCCTGCTGCTGGTGCCGCTGCTGCCGCTGCTGGTCCTGCTGCTCGTAGGATGGGAGGAGGAAGGGAGGAGCGGAAGGTGGGGGAAGGTGGAGGAGGAGGGGGGGAGCGATGTTATGGGGGAGGCAGGGGGAAGGGTGCTGCTGTTGGCGTCGCTGCAGATGCCGTTGATGATGCTGTTGTGGGTAGGGACGAGGAGGGCAGCCCTGTGGCAGATCCGAGCGCGGGAGGAGTGGATCTGGGCGTGGAAAGTGCAGATCTGGTCGCGAGGTGTGCAGATCTGGGCGCGCAGAGCGCAGATTTGGATGCGCGGAATGCAGATCTGGTCGCGCAGAGCGCAGATTTGGATGCGCGGAATGCAGATCTGGTCGCGCTGAGTGCAGATCTGGTCGCGCGGAATGCAGATCTGGTCGCGCGGAGTGCAGATCTGGATGCGCGGAATGCAGATCTGGTAACGAAATGTGCAGATCTGGGTGCAGGGGTAGATCTGGGTGCGGGAGGAGTAGGTCTGGGCGCGGGAGGAGTAGATCTGGACGCTGGAGTTGCAGATCTGAGCGCGAGGAGAGCGGATCTGGGCGCTGGGAGGGAAGATCTGGGCGCTGGGAGGGCAGATCTGGGCGCTGGGAGGGCAGATCTGGGCGCTGGGAGGTCAGATCTGGGCGCTGGGAGGGCATATCTGAGCGCTGGGAGGTCATATATGGGCGCTGGGAGGGCAGATCTGGACGCTGGGAGGTCAGATCTGGGCGCTGGAGTTGCAGATCTGGACGTGCGTGGAGCAGTGCCTTGGAGGGCTGCGCCTTATGTGTTGCGCGGGGAGGGAGGACAGCGCCTAAAGGGCGCGCGAAGAGATGGCAGCTTCGTTCTAAAAGGCTAGATCTGAGGGACGGGGAGGAGAGGGTGGCCTAAGGACCGAGGGATGAAGGCGTGAGCCATTAGCTCATGATACCATGTTGAAGGAGAGAATTGATGAATTGAATAATGAGCCAAGAGGCCATTTAGTACAAACAATGAGCAAGAGAGAGATGCGAGGGAAGCTTACCCTATTGGCCAATATGTTGACCAATGGGTGAGCTTGCTTGTGGCCCAAGCAACCACAAATGTGTGTTGGTTGGGATTGGTTGAGTTAAAACCAGGGTGCACATTCAATTGGATTTCTGTCAAAGGTTAACCTTTGACCTCGGGGTTACTCAGTGATTTAGGAATATCTGGGGGGAGTGTTCGCTTCAGCAGGTGAACATTTGAACCCTCGAGATTTGGCAAATGTATACCGAAGTCATCGAATGTGCTTCCGCCAATTCGTTTCCCCCCTCCCCATACCTATTCCGCTCCCACCGAAATTGTTTCCCCTTCCCCCACAATATCGTCTCACCCCCTTTCCCCTTTCCGCCAACCCAGTTGCCCTCCCCTTGATCCCCAATTTCTAGATCCAAGTGTTATCAATTTCTCCCCTGCCAAGCCTCATCTCTCACGGACGAAAAGCCCCATGCTCGCCCATTCTCAACTATTTATTCGCTACTCGTCAACCAATCAGCAGTTCCCGCAAACATGCCGCCCAAAATTTAGCCTGGAGTCGCGTTGAATGTGTACCCTGGTTTTAAGGACCAATCCCAACCAACCACAAAATGTGGTTGGAGGGTACACTAAACAACCCCCCAATTTATAAATGTGCTACACATAATTCTAGCCTATGTATGTTGTATAAAAAATGAAATTACAACACAAAGCCCAATCAATGACTTGACTTTCCATACACCTACTTGAATGCCTACGAGCCAATCTCATTTCAACACAACATTGAGGGAATTTGTACCGTATGTAAGGTCATACATGTGGTGTGGTACACAATTTACAGCAATGTGTATGTGCAACCTAAATAATATATACCGGTACACTTCACGAGCTTGGCTGTACCTACCACTCATGGTTATTGTCGATGCGGTTGGTGGTGTTGGTGCACCTGCTGCTGTAGCTTGTGAATTTCCTGCCTTTGAATCACTGCTACAGCTGCTACTTGCTGCACGCACTGCTGTAGCACCTGCTGCTCTTGCTGCTGCTGCTGAAGCTGCCTCTGCTGCTGGAGCAGCAGTTGCTGCTGCTGCTGTATCTGTAGCATCAGCTGCTGCTGACTCGCCTCATGAGGTGGCAGCATCACCTGCTGCTGTGCTTGTGGCTCATGCGCTTGTGTCAACTGGTGTATACGCTGCTCCCACTTTTGCTGCTGCTGCTGCTGCTGGTGCTGCTGCTGCACCTGCTGCACATTTGATGACAGATATTGCAACAGCCAATTCCCCTCCTGAATCGGCATTGACGGTTGAAGCTGCACTGTTGACTGCAGTCGTTGAAGCACCAAAGCCATGGCAGCATCGGAAGCAGTGGCAGCCATCCCGGGTGGATGATGAGAGCCATGCTGCCTGCTTGAGGTCTTCATCCCCCCCATGGCTCTCACCACTCCTGGTGTCACAATCGCCTCCATGCCGCCACCAGCAGCAGCAGCAGCAGCAGCAGCAGTGGCAGTGGCAGCAGCAGCAGCAGCATTACCAAAGGCAGCAGCATGTTGATTATCAGGAGTACCATTATTGCCAACAGCAGCAGCAGCAGCACAAGAATTAGCTGCCGTGGCAGAAGCAGCAGTGCCGGCAGTGGACGGCTCTCCCCCAAGGTTACCCAATGCTTTCCCCCTGGCAATGACTGCAGTGGCAGCATCAGCAGTGGCAGCAGGAGCAGTGGCAGCAGGAGCAGTGGCAGCAGGAGTGGCCACTGCTGCCGCCACAAGTGCCGTCTCCACCACTGCTTCAGCCAGATTCTGGGAGAGAGGGAGTGGCACAGATGCACCTTCCCCAGGTGTGCCCTGCATGGCACCTGCTGCCTCTGGCTGCACAAAGAACTCCAGCCCTGGATGCAACCTCCCCCACCTGCTGCCGGCGCCACATGTGCTGCTGCTCACCCCACTGCCTGCACCCCCTCCCCCTCCCCCTGCCTGCTGCCCCCTGCCTGCTGTGACACCTGAGTGAGCTCGCCTGCTCTTCCCTCCCTGCGCGCTCTCATCACTGCTGCCCTCCTTCACCCCGTCACTCTTGCTACCACTCCCACTCCCATTCCCACTGCCACTCTCACTCCCACTCTCGCTCTCACTCCCACTCGCACTGCTTTCACTGTCACTACTGCCATCGCCACCATTATTTCTACCATCACACCCTGCCTCTCCATCCCGCCTGCCATTCACTCCCTTGCGCGCATCCCCCCATGTAACCCTCATCTGCTTCCCATTGCGCTTCGATTTCCCCCTGTCTTGCTGCCTCTCCTCCTCACCTCTCTCTTCACCCTCCTCGCCCTCCTCGCCCCCTCGCACCATCAACTTCTTCCATGCATTCTGAAAAGCCGATCCTTTAGCTGCCCGTTTCCCTGCCCGCCCCTCCAACCGAACCTCTACAGATGCCCGATTTAATCGCTTCAACTTCTGTTTCCTCCCCTCCATCCTTCCCGTTCCCTGACCCCCAACGCGAGCAGATGGGGAAAGGTGAGAGAGGGGGAGGTGAGAGTGGGGAGGGTGAGATGGGGGAAGGTGAGAGGGGGGAAGGTGCTGTTGGGAAGCACTGGGGTGTTGGTAACGACTTTGTTGGGGTGTGCCAAGCGGACGGGAGCTGGGCTGATAAGAGGTGCGTTGATAAGGGGTGGGCTGATAAGAGGTGGGCTGATAAGAGGTGGGTTGATAAGAGGTGGGTTGATAAGAGGTGGGTTGATAAGATGTGGGTTGATAAGAGGTGGGTTGATAAGACGTGGGCTGGCATGAGGTGGTCTGATAGGATCCAGGCTGATAAGAGGTGGGCAGATAGGCCGCTGGGTGGCAGGGCTGTGTGGGGGTGGGCTGAGAGCAGCCCTGTGCTGCGAGTGGCTGCATGAGATGCTGAATCAGCTGCAATGCCTGCAGAGGAGAGAAGCGTAGGGGCAGAGAAGCAGGCATGGGGCAAGCGGCTGATGGTGTGGTGAGAGCGTGTGAGCGAGCATGCATTGCTGCTACAGTCTGAGTAGCGTTCCCCTGCTGCCATATGCCTGCTGCTGCTGCTGCTGCTGCTGCTGCTGCTGCTGCTGTCTCTGCGCCACCCCATGCACCCATTGCTGTGCTCTGCCCGTGCTGCACTGGCCCCACCCCCATCCCCACCGTCGCTGCTGCTCCTGCACCTGCCAACACTGCCCCTGCCGTGGGCGGGGTGGGGCGGGGAGCAATCGGCCGTGCCTGGCAGGCAGGCGCTGCGCTGTACTGCCACCCTGCTGGGTCGGCTCGAACTCGCACTGGGTGATCACTGTGTGGCCATAATCCCATGCCAGCACCACTGCCACCACCACCACCATCGCCAGCACCACCATCATCATCACTATCATCAGTATTACCACCATCACCACCATCACCACCATCACCAGCATGAGCATCAGCAATCCCACTGCGGTCGAAGTACCAGCATCCTCGTCGCACGCATCGCACCCACGTTCCCTCCCCTGCACGCCTCCTCTTCCCGTTCCCTCCACCTCCACCACACACACCTTGCGCCACCACATGCACCGTGCGCTGGCCCTGCCCGCCCGTGCATGCACCTTGCGGCACCGCATGTACCGTCTGCTGGCCCTGCCTCTCCCTGCATGCACCTCGCCCCACCGCATGCACCGTGTGCTGGCCCTGCACGCCCCTGCATCCACCTTCCACCACTGCATGTACTGTCTGCTCGCCCTTCCCGTCCCTGCATCCACCTTCCGCCGCCACATGTACCGTGCGCTGACCCCGCCCGTCCCTAGATGCACCTTGCTTCACCGCATGCACGGTGCAGTGGTCCTGCCCGGCCCTGCATATACCCCCCCTACACACCTTGCATGCCACGCGTGCCAGCAGCCTGCCGTGCCACTGTGGCCCGTCCAGTGCCAGCAGCAGTGCACGCACGGCCCGCCACGCCACCCACTGCAGCAGCACCGCGCTGGGCTCACCATGCACTCCCTTCTCATGCCCCACCTGCCCCTTCTCATGCCCCACCTGCCCCTTCTCACGCCCCACCTGCCCCTTCTCATGCCCCACCTGCCCCTTCTCCTGCCCCATCTACCCCTTCTCATGCCCCACCTGCCCCTTCTCCTGCCCCACCTGCCCCTTCTCCTGCCCCACCTGCCCCTTCTCCTGCCCTACCTCTCCCTTCTCCTGCCCCACCTGCCCCTTCTCCTGCCCCACCTTTCCCTTCTCCTGCCCCACCTGCCCCTTCTCCTGCCCCACCTGCCCCTTACCATCATCCCCAGCCTTCACCTCCTCCTTCTCCCCATCCCCACTCTCCCTCTGCTGCACGACACCTGCTAACCGTGCTCTGATCCGCCCCTCCCACCCGTCGCCCAGCAGCTGGGAGCGCTGCTGCCACAGCAGAGCCAGCAGCTCCTCGCCCACCTGCACGCCCCACGTGGCCTGCACCGCACCCACCACCACTGCCTGCTCCCGCGCCTCCTCCTCGTCTGCTCGCCGCCCCACCACCCCCTCCGCCACCCACTCACACAGCGCCCGCCGCACCGCCGCCACCACCAGTGCTGCTGCTGCCGTGCCTGCTGCTGCCGTGCCTGCTGCTGCCCCCACGGCCACCGGTGCCTTCACCGCCTCCTTTTCAGACAGCACCTCGCCAGCCGTTTCGTCCTCTCTCCCCTGCCCTCCCTCGTCCCCATCTCGTTCGTATCCTCCCTCACTTCGCCTCCCTCCACCACTTCCCTCCTCTCTCGCTTCTCCTCCTGCTTGCAGTCTAGCTTCACCCAAACCATCTGCTCCACACGTTTCATCTGCTCCACGGGTTTCAACTGCTCCACGGGTTTCATCTGCTCCACGGGTTTCATCTGCTCCACGGGTTTCATCTGCTCCACGCGTTTCGTCTGCTCCACACGTTTCATCTGCTCCACGCGTTTCATCTGCTCCACGCGTTTCATCTGCTCCACGCGTTTCTCTCCCACCTCGCTCCACCTCTCTCAACTCCTGCACATGCCTCTCCACCCGCTGCAGGAAATGCCTTAGCCACACCTCCTCTTGCCGCTCACTGGCCGCAGCACCATCTGTAGCACCATCTGTAGCACCATCTGTAGCACCATCTGTAGCACCATCTGTAGCACCATCTGTAGCACCATCTGTAGCACCATCTGTAGCACCATCACCATCACCAGCACCAGCACCAGCACCATCACCACCACCATCACCAGCATCAACACCATCACTGAGTTTCAGGCGTGCCAGCGACCGCAGGGCCTCGAAGCGGCACAGGAAGCGGCGGCACCAGTTGAGCTCGAACCGGGGGCAGCCCCTGCTGCTGCGGTAGAGCAGCAGGGCGATGCGGCGCGCTGCCTGGCGCAGCATGGGGCGCGTCAGAATGAACGGTACCCCGTGCTTCCCTAGCAGGCTCCCACCCATCCGTGCGCTCATGGTGCCCCCAGGTTTGGGATTGGGATAGGCGGCGGTGGTGGATGCCGCCACTCCTGGTTCCAGTGGGCCAAAGAGGCGCTTCATGTGCTCCTCCATCACCCCACCCGCAGCAGCGGCAGTGCCACCATCATCACCGCCACCACTCTGAGCAGCACCAGGAGTTGCAGCAGCGGCAGCAGCAGCAGCAGCAGCAGCAGCAGCAGCAGCAGCAGCATCAGCAGCAGCACCGGCGGCAGCAGCACTGCCGGCTTCAGCAGCAGCAGCAGCAGCAGCAGCAGCAGCAGTGGCGGGTTCAGCAGCAGGCGAGCCCCAGCGGAAGCCAGGGGGGAAGGAGAAGCGGGCGCGGTCGAGGAGGATGGTGGCGGAGAGCTGCTGCACCCACTGCAGCAGCACCACCTCCACTCGCCCCGCCCGCCGCCCCTCCTCCCTCTGCACGCGCTCCCTCACCCGCCCCTCCACCCCGGCCCTCGTGATGCCCCCCGGCAGTACCATCCACCTGCAGGGGGACGCGGGGTGGAGAGAGTGGGTGGAAGGGGGCGGGGGAGGGTGGTGGGGGGTTGGAAAGGAGGGGGGGGCGGAGAACGTAGGGGAGGGTGGAGAAGGTGGGGGTGAGTAGATGGGATACAGAGATGAGAGTGGGAGAGGAAAGATGGTGGAGGGCGAGCATGGGAGGAGCGCGGGCGGTGTAAGGACGGGCGAGGGAGAGAGGGAGGCACACCTAGTGGTCTGGGCAAGGATGGCGCGCAAGTGAAGGGGAGAGAGCGCCAGCCCCCAGGCCTGGGCAATGGCGTGCAGCAGCTGAGCGTGGGGCAGGTGGGGGCGGGCGAGGGCGGCGAGGCAGATGGCTCTGATGTGACTCAGAATGAGCCCCGGCAGCTGCCTCTCCACCACCACGCCCAATGATGCATCTCCACACACCAGGTACACCTGCCTGCTCTGCTCCTCTCCCTCTCCCTGCTCCTCCTCCTCCGCCATTTCCTCCCCTGCCGCCCTGCCTTCTCCACTGCCTTTAACCTCCTCCCTCCTGCTCACACCTCCGCTCTCGCCTCCTCCTGCTCCTCTTCGCTCTCCCCCCCTTTCACCTGCCCCCTCTCCCCCGCCACCACTGCCCTGGAATGCGGGTGGCAGGCAGTGGAAGTGGAAGTGGGGCAGGACAACGCTCTCGCTGCTCACCTCCCTCTGCAGCGCCTGCAGCTCGGGGCTGCCCATGGCGGGCAGGGGGGACACGGAGCGCCATGCATCATCATGCCAAGGAGATGGGGACTGCCTGGCGCCACCCACTTCACCCTCCCCTCTCCCACCGCCAGCATCCCCTGCTCTCCCCAAGTCTGCCCCCCCCTGCCTCTCGCCCGCCTCTCCCTGCGACACAGCACGGCTCACAGGCTCCCCACGGCCCACTGCTGGCGCTGGTGGCTCGCCACGCTGCACCTGGCCGTCTCGTCGTGGCGCTGGCACTGGTGATGCTCCTGGCGCTGGGGGCAGCAGCCCCGCGTCCAGCAACCCAGCATCCAGCAGCCCCGCATCCAGAACGGCCTCCTCCAGCACGTGGGAGGGCAGCATGGCGCCCTCCTGGCGAGCCAGGCTCATGAGCAGAGCGCGTGCATGGCGGTACGGGTTCTCCACCCCCGCCAGCAGCCCCATCCGCCTGTCCCTCTCTGACCCCGTGCTCGTGCTCGCCCCACCACCAGCAGTAGCACAGCAGCCGTCGTACCCCCCCCAGTCCTCTTCATACTCCTCCTCGAAGTTCTCCCCCTCCGCATCCTCATCGTCACTCGCTGTTCCCGTGCGCCTCACTTTCGTCCTCAGCCTCCTCCTGCCTCTCCGCCACCACTCCACTTCACTCTCACTTCCACCTCCTGCCCCTCCGCCCTCCTTCCCCATTCCTGCCCTCCCTCCCTCAGCCCCCTCCCCGGCGCCCCTGCGTGCCTCAGCCAGGCGCAGCAGCAGCAGCCCATACCGCCGCACGAACCTGCTCGCCCATGCGTCAGTGCACCGCCCCTCCTCCACGCCGCACCCCCATGCCAGCTCCCTCGCCTTGCCAACCAGCTGCGCGCGGCTCACAGCGCGCCCCGCGCCCTCTTCCTCCGCCACCACCCACCGCGCCACTGCCTCCTCCAGCGCGCCCTCCCCCGCGTCCGCCGCGCCCGGCGCGCTCCCCCCCGCGTCCGCGCGCACCCAGCGGCGGCTCTCCTGGACGATGTAGCGGACGTGTTTAGGCATGAGCCACAGCCCGTACCGCGCGTGCACGGCGGCCGTCACGATCCTGGGGCTCAGGACGCAGGAACGGCCGCACGCACGCCAGCATCGCCACCTCGTACCGCACGCGCGCTGCTAGCGCGCTCGCACCCGCGCTGGCCGCGCCCGCCGTCGCGCCCGACCCGTCGTAACGCGATCTGCTGCTGCTTCCGCCGATGGAGCATATGGCCGCGACGGCGCTGCCCCGCGCCCACGACGGTGCGCCCGCAGGTACCTGCGGCGCCTCGTCGACCTCTCCGCCCTCATCACCCCCGCCGCTTCTGCCCGCACTCAGCTCGCCTGCCGCAGCTCCTCCTGAGCCGTCTTCGCCGGCACTAGCGGAGTCTGACGCCTCGCCGTTATCGCGTGCGACGCGGTCGTCCTGCTTCTCCCCCTGCGCGTCGCGCGTTTCCGCCTCGTTCCCACTGCGCGTCCCCACTTCGTCCCCCGAGCGCGTCCCCACCTCCTCGCCGCACTCGTCGAGACCCGCGTCGCGCAGCACTTCGCTGCACCACCAGCGCTCGAACTCGAATAGAGGAGGCACGCCGAACCGCTCTGCGATGCGCCGCGCGTACTTCTGCAGGAAGGCCACGATGCTTGACCTCTGGACCTCCCCCTTCCCCCGCCCCGCCCTTTTCGCTTCGAGACGGAGCCGCCTCTCGCGCGTCCACCGCGCTAACTCCGCCTCAAGCTCCGCGTTCTTATAACGAACGAACTTGTTCTTCCCTACGCTGCTTTCGACGGTGGCCTTTCGGTAGAGTCGATCGATGTCGCTGCTGCCGAGCCGCGTGCCGTACTGCGCGTTGACGGCCGTCGCGATGTGCTCGTTCGCGAGCTCGGGATGCGCGCGTCGCACGGCGACGATTTCGCGCAGCACCAAGGGGCTCACGGCCGCCGCGCGGCTCTTGCCCCGCCGGGCATCGGGCGGAAGCTCCATCGCGCGATCTGCTGCGTGTCTCGTGCGATGCTCCTGACCCGGGCTCACCGTTGCTAACGTCAGCAGTTCATTTTGTCGTCAGACACACGACACCCCGTCGTGGGTACCGCTGGGCGTTGACCGCCTATCTAACTGACGTCGCCCTAATGACTCAACTCAACATGGAGCATTTGGATTTGGACCATGTGCTAGAGTGCAGGAAATGACGGATCGCCTTGTTTTCAAGTTTCCAATTCCTTTGGGCAGTGGCTTTGACACCGCCTCGCTTCTCCGCTCGTCCGATTCCTTGGGGCAGCTGATTTCCTGTGACCAGGAAAATTCTGAAGTTTACCTGGTTTTAGTTCAGTGGCCAGTGGAAAAAATAAACCCCTCTCGGATGGCTGGCCATTTGGGAGGCAGCAACCCTAAACACCTTGCCTCATGGTGTTTAGGGTTGATGCCTCCCAAATGGCATGCCCTCCATGAGGGGTATATATTTTTTGTCCCGAGGTTCTCGTATTTGACGCGACAATTCAATTTATGATATCCCAATAAATAAAACACAATATTAGTCTCTGGACTCGAAAAGGGGCAATAGCGTAAATAAATTGTTAACGGGAATGGAGTGTTGGCCCCGCCCTCGCTTGGGCAACGACGACGACTTGGTCGGATGTACGGGAGTAGCAACCGACCGTTCACAGTGAGAGAGCTGTTTGACAGGCTTCGTCGAGCTGGAGGGGACCGCTGTGGTGTTGCTGTCGACCAGGGAGCTCGACAGCCGCAACTGACTGGTCTGGGCGACGGGTGGGCCGTCGACCAAGAGGGGCAGTTCGACCGGGAGGTCGACGGAGCAGTCTGTCAACCCGACAAGTGAGCAGCGGTCGACGAGAGGAGCTCGGCGACAACAACTGACAGCTCTGGTCGACGGAAGGGGTCCGTCGACCAGGGAATAGCTCGACGGGAGCTGTGGTCGACCAGAGGCACTTGGTGGTCGACCAGAGCACCTGGGGTTGTCAAGGTCGACCGGGTAACCTGCTCGGCGAGTTCTACGGAGGCACGCGAACGTCGTCGAGGTCGCGATGACGAAGGCGACTTCGGGTTGGTATCCCGAAGTCGATGTGGCTCGTCAGGAGCAGACAACAGCTGACGGATACACAACGGTGCAAGTCGGGCCAATCGTTTGCGCGCACCTGCGAGCGTGCGCACTGCTGTCTTCGATGGGGCAACGTTGGACAGCCGCTCCGCTGCAGCGTTGGCACACCGTCGACCTGCTGTGTTGGCAGGTCGCCTTTCTGCAGTGCTGGTGCGGCTCCTCTACGCAACGCTGGGCGATCGACCATGCTGTGCTGTCGTTCGACCAGGCTAGCTGCAGAGTTGCTAGGTGCCTGATGTAGTCATTGTTGTCATTGCTTGTTCAACAATTCTGTACTTCAAACTTTGCTATTGGAAACTCTTGCCGATTTCTCCCGTGATTGTGCAAGCACTAAGGAACTAGGCAAAGCTTCGATCACTCCTAGTAGTTCGTGCCAACCCCCGTAGTCTAGCTCACAACCGTTGTAGAGTGAATCTCCGCATGGTGCGGTGAGCGTGGACGGCCCCGCAGATTACTTTTGCACCTACTAAGTCTTTCGTAGGCCGGCAGCAGCAATAGTCACCATGGTCGACCCCGTAGCTAATGCGGGCTTAGCGGACACCTTTGAGGCACGCTTGGTTGATGCCAGGATGCCAGAATGTTATAGTGCTTACATTTGTGTAGGCTATAGTGGGGTAGCCCATAAGGGGTACAACCCAATTAGGGTTAGCACTTGTACCCAACTCTTTCATAGTTCATTCATTCTCGTTCGTTAATTTGACATGGCTTCAGAGCAGGTCCCTTCTAGGACCGTTTTTTGGGCCCACCACCTACTGCCCTGCTAGCCACCCTCACGACCCGTAGGCCCCCTAGGCCCCAACCCGTCGCCTCTAGCCCGGCCCCTTGGCCCCGTCGCCCCTAGCCGCGGCCCCTTGGCCCCGTCGCCCCTAGCCACGGCCCCTTAGCCCCGTCGCCCTGTCGCCCCGTCGCCCCTAGCCGCGACTCCTAGCCAAGGCCCCCCTTGGCCTCGTCGCCCCTAACCGCGGCCCCTTGGCCCCGTCGCCCCGTAGCCCTAGCCGCGGCCCCTAGCGACCCGTCACACCTTTACGCTTGACTCAGGTGCTTCCCATTGTTTCTTTCGCGACAGTACCACCCTCACTCCTCTCTCTGCACCTGTACTGGTCAGACTGGCTGACCCCTCAGGGGGCCCGGTTCTTGCCCGTTCCCCCACTGTTCTCCCGTGTCCGGCGGTTCCGTCCGGCTCACTGTCAGGTCTTCACCTCCCCTCGTTCTCTACGAACTTGGTGAGTACCGCTGCCCTCCAGAATGTGATGGCCACTACCACGACTCCTGGGGGTCAGTGTGTGTCGATCTGCACGTGTACACGGACGGGCCGTCACCTGGCCACATTCACCCATCGGCCTTTGTCGAGTCTGTACACCCTGGCTACCGAGCCTCCTCAGGTAGCTGCGTCTGCCCAAGTGTTCGCGTCAGGTCCGGTAGCACCCCCCTGCTCGTGTCGCCTCCTGTCGCACCAGACTCTCCTGTGGCACCACCGACTTGGTCACCCCTCCCTGCCACGCCTTCGTGGCATGCACTCCCGCCTCCTTGTCTCTAGTCTTCCCAGGTCTCTGCCACCCCTCCCGCCCTCGCCTGCCCCGCCCTGCCTTGCTTGCGTCGAGGGGCGGCAGCGCGCCGCTCCTCACTCCTCCTCGTTTCCCCCGACGACTGCTCCCCTGCAGACTCTCCACATGGACATGTGGGGCCCAGCCCCCGTCAGTGGACAGGGCCGTGAGCGCTACTTTCTGCTGGTTGTTGACGACTACATGCGTTACACCACGGTCTTCCCCTTGTGCAGCAAGGGTGAGGTCCCTGATGTCTTGATCCCTTGGATCTGTGCAGTCCGTCTCCAGCTCCGCGAGCGGTTCGGCCAGGACCTTCCTGTCCTGCGTCTGCACTCTGATAGAGGTGGTGAGTTCTCCTTCGACCTCTTACGGGACTTTTGTCGTGGGGAGGGCATTCTCCAGTCGTTCACACTTCCATACTCCCCTCAGAAAAATGGGATTGCTGAGCGCCGCATTGGCTTAGTCATGGAGGTCGCTCGTACCTCCACAATCCATGCGGCTGCCCCCGATTTTCTGTGGCCGTTTGCGGTCCGGTACGCTGCGCATCAGCTCAACCTCTGGCCCCGTGTCTCCTTGCCGGAGACCTCGCCTACACTGCGTTGGACAGGGAAGGTTGGCGATGCGTCGGTGTTCCGGGTCTGGAGTTCTCGTGCCTTTGTTCGCGATACGTCCGCGGACAAGCTCTCCGCCTGCGCTATTCCCTGCGTCTTCCTTGACATTCCCCCTGATGCGCCTGGCTGGCAGTTTTACCACCCCACCTCGCGCCGTGTCCTCCCCTCTCAGGATGTCATGTTTGACGAGTCGGTTCCCTTTTACCGTCTCTTCCCCTACCGCTCTGCCCCTCTCCCACCCCCGCCGCTCTTCCTTACTCCAGGTCCCCCTCCGGTAGACCCTCTCCCCCCTCAGGGTCCTGCTCCCTCAGGTGTGTGTCTCAGGTAGACCCACTCCCTGGTATTGTGCCTGTTGAGGTCGCTATAGACTCAGGTGCTGCTAGAGGTCCTATGTCTAGGGGTGCTGAGCCTGGGGGTGCGGAGCCTGGGGGTGCTGAGTCTGAGGGTGTGGAGCCTGGGGGTGCTGAGTCTGAGGGTGCGGAGCCTGGGGGTGCTGAGCCTAGGGGTACTGCTTCTTCTGCAGGTCCTGCCGGTGCTTCGCCATGACTGTATCCCCGGCCGAAGCCTCTCTCCCCGTAGCAGCTTCGCGAGTGGTTTGCTCGGCGCACACGCCTTCGGAGTGGAGCTGCCGGAGCAGGAGACCCTACCACTGGAGGCACTGGAGCTGGAGGTGCTGGAGCTACTAGTTTTGGAGGTGCTGGAGTTCCTGCTGGAGCTGGAGGTCCCGGAGGTGCTGGAGCTGCTGGTTGTGGAGGTGCTCGTACTAGTTTACTGGAGCTGCCAGGGCTGGTGGAGCTGGAGGAGCTGGAGCTGGAGACCCAGGCGCTGGTGGCGCTGGAGCTGGAGGTGCTGCAGGAGTTGGAGATGGAGGCACTGGAGCTGGAGCTGCTGGAGGTACTGGAGCCGCTCGTCCCGGCGGTGCTCGTACTGGAGGTACTGGAGCTGCTGGAGCTGGAGGTGCTGCAGGAGTTGGAGCTGGAGGCACTGGCGCTGGAGCTGCTGGAGGTACTGGAGCTGCTGGAGCTGGTGGTGCTGCAAGCGTTGGAGCTGGAGCCACCGGAGCTCAAGTCGCTGGCCCTCGGGGTGCTGGTGCTGTTGGTGCTGGTTTTGGAGCCACTGGACGGCCGCGACCGTACTTCGTTCCTCAGCTTCAGCACGTTCTTGGTCTCCCATCTTCTACTGGCCTTACTCTTCCCTTACTGTGTCCACCGCCTGACCAGTCGCAACCGCCGTTACAGCCAGCCTCCCCACTGCCTGCTCATTCTCCTTAAACTGAGCAGACCAGAGGTCTTACAGAGCGTCGTGAGCATGCGTCTCGTCCTGCCTCGCCTATTCGCGTTGTTTGCACTGGTCGTCGTGTTCCTCGTCCGCGTCCTCCTCCTGTCCCCGTCACGCACTATATGGCACTTCGTCCTTCCTCTGTTCCACAGCGTGTCCCCTTGCCGTCTCCTCCTACGTCCTCTCTTGCTGACGGTCCAGACCCTGAGTCTGACTTAGTTCGTGCTGCCTGTCCTACTGTCCCTCGTCTTCTAGCCAATGTTGTCACTGACAAATCGTTTGAGTCTGCTGTTGCGTCTGCCCTAGTTGCTGAGCTTGTTGACTTTGCTGCCGCCTGTCGTCTCGACTACGCCACTAGTCTTGTTGCTGAGTATGAGTCTGACTGTCCTCCGTCCGTCGGGGGTGACTGTGCTCTTGGCACGGACGTCCTTGAGG